TTTACAAACTGCAGAAATTGGTACATTTTTATTTATTTAAACAAATATTTCTTAAATACAAATATAATTATTGTCTTGTTGTTATAATATTATTTCTTATATAATTCATATAATATCATTAAAATCTGATTATAAAAATAAGAAATTTGAAGTATTCATTATCTAGATTTGCTTTATCATTCTTGATTTGTGTGATTAAGTCTTTCAAATAATTTCATTCGCTTTTGATTTTTGTTTTCTGCAGCAAAGAAAAATGAAAATCACTTTTACTCTTGTTATTTTATTTTATCTATTGCTGAGATTCATATCTTCTCTTAAAAGTATGTTTTAAATTTAGCAATAGAATAAATATTTATATATTATTTCAAGCATTTACAATGAAAGAATCAGTGGTCTGTTTTGATGGTTATTTTTTAATTCTTAGTTTAATTATTTCTCTTTTGGAGGATTTTATTTAAAAACTGTTTAAATGAGTAAATTTTTTACAATAAATTTAACTTTTTTTCATGAGGACATATAATAGAAAACTATTTAAAATAGACCTATTTTAAAAAAGAAAAATATATTTAATAATAATCTTAAATGCTAGAAATTTCAAGCAGTTATTTTCTGCCCTTGTTAAAATTGGCTTCTTTCATGTTTTTTTATATTTATTTTTGATGATTACAAAAATTCTATTATTGCGATAAATGTTTTTAAAAGGCAATAGGAGATGTGACTAAAAATATCAATCTTTTATGAATTTTATATCTTTGTAATGTTTACAGATATTAAATTATGTTACATTCCTTTAAAGAAATATTCTGTTGAAAACATTGCAATGACCAAGAAGAATTATTTTATTTTAAAAAAAAGCTTAATGAGTTTTTCTTTCATACAATTTGAATGATATTTATTGCAATTTTATGAACTCTTATATATTTATTACTATCTGACATTAAAGTCTTATTCTTATATTAATAAAATCTAATAAAATATCCAATCTATTGCCTTTTTAATATTGTATTCAGAAATGTTCATTTACTTTTCCAATCGACACTAAACAAGCTGGAATATATATATAGAAAATTCAGAAAAGCATTGGTAAATAAAGTTAGAAAATTATCTGAAGTTGCAAATTTTATGTATAGTTTATATTATTTGAAGATTTTTAATAGGTTAACCCTTTAAATTTGAACTTTTCTCTTTATTTTCATAAATGTTTCTAGCATCAAGTTCAATTCATCTAAATTGATACAAAAACACAAATACTAATATGCATTATAATTTTACTTTCTCAAAATATCAATGCTTTTCTCAAAATATCAGTTATATGTGGGTGCATTTTTCTGGATGGATATGTATATGTTTCTTACTCTGTCTCAACATATAGGTTTGAAATGGTAGGTATTTCATGTATGTATGTCCCTTACTTTGACATGTAGAAGAGGACAATATAGAAGATAATGATATATGGTCTCTGAGAATAAATAGAATCAGACTGTAGCAAATAGAAATAGATTATGAACTGTGATAATGAGAATTGAAATGAAGATAACCTGTAAATAAAAAGAGAAAATGTATCAAAATGATCTGTTATTGAAGCCAAAACAGCTCAGATATCCAAAAGGACATTTACAGAGATTGAACTCCATAACATTGGCTTGTGAATACAACTCATAAACCACATTACAGGATCTCTTCCTGTATATATGAATTTATAAAAAAAAAAACTATTAGAATAAGCATTTACTTTGATTGAATAATTTTATTTTGATAAATTGAGAAAATGTCTTCTGACCTGTAATATTTGTATACAGACATATCTATATATATATATATATATATATATATATATATTATAAAAAATATAGTTTTAAGGTAAGCTATATTTATTGGTTAATGTGCTCAATATCAGGGATAGAGTATGTAATATATATATATATATATATAGAGAGAGAGGTGCTGAAATGTTCTCAGTCCAACACACTTCCCAGAATTAGTATTTCAATGACCAAACATCAGAATACACCTGTTAGATCAGGCCAAGGCCTATTCAGCATGTACTTGTATGTGTGTAACATGCACATGCTGATGTGCCAAAAGTCATGAAATGGCTGTATATAAAGCTAATGGGAAGGGTGCAACTATACATTGAGGTCATGGAAATGCCCAGATCTATATCAGTTCTGCTTTGACATCTGGTGAGTCAGTTTAAACACAGGCTAGACTGCACATAGCAAAGTAGTGTAAATTACTGGAGTTCAAATAAGGCATGATAGCAGTTGCCAGACAGATGGGACATCTTCTTTTTGAAATTTGGGGGACATCTGACATCTCTTGACCAACAATACAAGGCATTACCACCCACCATGGACAGTGCAGTGGCTGACAATGGATTCCTAATGGCCATGCCCAGAGATGTCTGGCAAGAATTGTTTATAGTCAGACAAGTTACTGGCTCAATTTTTCTTCCTTTTTTTTTTTTTGTTCTTTATTCAATCATTCTGTTGGATTTAATATGTATTTTTGACTCATGTGTTTTTTTATAAAGAACATTTAAGATAGAAAGCCTACAAAATTTTCCATTATAAATTCCATGTTTTTTATTTCTCTATTTTGAATCAGTTGCTACAAAAAAAAAACAACAAAGCACATTTACTTTTTTCAAATTTTTATTCCATACATATGACATATACATTATTCACATGTTTAAATATTATGAGGCACATTTCTATTCACATTACAGACTCTATTTTTAATGGAAGATAGATTTTTAATGAGACAAATTTTAGTTATTGAAATATACTTTCATTCAGCGAATATCAAAAATTGAAAATGAATTTGTTTCCTGAAAAAATTTGGAAAAAATGATTTTAGTTATTGAAAATATACTTTCATTCAGCGAATATCAAAAATTGAAAATGAATTTGTTTCCTGAAAAAATTTGGAAAAAATGATTCACTTCAAAGTAATCTTAACCCTTTGAACCCTGACCTCCTGATGAATATGATCTCCCATGCTGTCCATGACTCTAGGTAGTATACTGGCCACACAGGCATATGCACTCACTTTCAAACCATGGCCGGTATACTGTGTGCTCGGGTTAAAAATCACCCGATTTGAATTTAGAAATCAACCCACACTGGTATCACTGACAAGATTCATGTGTGTATATATATATATATATATATATATATATATATATATATATATATATATACACACACACAAATTAATTCAATGTATTTATCTGAATGTTAGGTTAAAAAGTAGGTTATAATAAAAATTTATTATTTAATAATTTGATATGTAATCAGCATGAACTCTTTTGAGTCTTTAATCACAGAAAAATTTTATAATTTTCCTTGACTAGGAAAATTTCAAGCAAAAACAATAAAATAATTCCAAAAGTTTAAAATATATGCTTTTATAATAAAATAAATAAAATTAACCTTTTCATATTTTCAAAAGCTATTGTTATCCTCTAGAGTTGCCTCCTTTATCACAAACCATAAATTATCATTTTTATGACATTTTCACTTTTTTTCCCCTGATGAATCTGGATATAAGAAAGGTTTTGAGGATTTTTCAGTTCATTGAAATTCAAATTCCATATGGACGGCAGACAATTCTATTAATTTTAATAAAAACAATCTAATGAACCTTCAGAGTATACCTGACGCTTTATATAAAAAATGAGAATTTATAGATAGCTACTGAAAGACTCCAAGATTGGGAGTTTTAACAGAAAAGCCAATGAGTTTAAACTTAAAGTTTTTATAATTGTAAGTACAATTAGATTAGATGTTTCATAACTTATGACAAACATCAACATGTATGTAAAGGATACATATAACTTATGTTAGTGTATTTCTTACAAGAGAACATTAAAATTGGTTAATAGGTTTTTACATATTTGATAACATTTGATTATAATAATCCTCTTAAATATTCTATACAATATGTAATAAATGATATATATATATATATATAATTTAAAAATTTGTGAGATTTGAAGAGATTGATCAATCTGCTTTTGAAGTACTAGCATGTTCTAATGTCTTACTGAACACTTCAGATGTTTTGAAATCACATCACAAGAAATTAAACTTTTTTCTATCAACTATTTCTTTCTTTAAGGAAGTTATTTTGTGCTTGAAGTTTTCTAGACTCTTGAATAGTGTGCCTGTATGAGTATCATCTCTCTCTCACATATATACATTTATATATTAGAATAATAAAATATTGAGAGAGAAAAATCTACAGACATGATGGTAGGAGAAAATAGACAGAAATTTACATATTCCTGTGGATATAAAAAATAAATTTGAGATAATATATCCCTTAATTCAATATTCAGTGATGTTCACATGATTATACTCATTCCTTTTGGGATCTTTTGAAAAGTAAACTTCTTCAAAATAACTGTTACATAATGTAACAAAATCGAAATGCCATCTGATGAATTATCCACTTTGTCTTTTGCTGCCATTATTCTTAATGAATTATTGAAATTGTGATCAAATAGACATAATAATACAAAGCAACAGATTTACAAGTTTTTTGTGGTTTGGTTTTTTTGATAAGTGGATCACATTATTATATCCCTAGATGAAGTCCAGCATTTTTTTCTCATTAAGTGACCATTTATTTTTATTTTTTTTTACCTCAAAGATATATTTGAATATCCACTGAATTGTGATGGCCTAAGATATAAAAAAAGTGTACAAATTATTGAGATTATATTCACTTGTATACACACAGATATGTGTAATTCAATTAGGATATATAATATATAGTACTGATAAATCATCAGTTATCCTCCCCTTAAGATCTAGGAGGTATAAAAATCACCCTGTGATATCCATCAGTAGATGAGTAGTCAAAGTAAAGTGCAATAAAACTTTGGTATCAGTTTATTCACTGGTTTTGTTCTTACTATATATATATATATATATATATATATATATATGCTTAGTTTTTGGTGTTTTTACATATTTTAGAGCAGCCATTTTGTTTTAGCAAGTACATTTCTTTTTATTCCCAATAAAACTATCCATGAATGTCATGGTCCCCAGAAACTTGCATGTTTCAATCCAGGAATCTGCTGGTAATAATCTGGAACAAAAGATGAGAAAAAATAAGATAAAAACTTGAAAGTAATTTATTTTAGATACATTCATGAGATAGAATGCTATAAACATTTGTAAACTTTGTAAAAAACTGAACCCATTCTAAGAAAACCTTTTTACATGCACAAAAATCATTAAAACAAGTCAGATCTTCCACAGGCCAATTAAGAACTTAAATGTAGCCTTGACATATCTATCACATAATCAGGATTAAGGATTAGATTAAGAGATTCAAAAGTGAAATTCCCCAACATTTTATGAATGTTTCAATGACACACACACACACACACACACACAGACATTATATATATAATATGTACAAGTAGTGTAATGGATAATGGCTTGGAATGAGAAATTAGAAAGCCAGAACAGACTGGGCTCTATAGCCTTAGTTAGCAACTATTTTAGAGTCAATAAACACTCATTCCCTAGAAGGCTGGGCTTCTCATGGGGATGCATTGGCCCATAAAAATGCACAGTGACTAAAATTCTTCAGTTGTATGAATTGCACATTCTGTCATAGATGGAGAAATTGTTTCTCATCTTCATCTATTTATCTCTCTCTCTCTAATATATATATATATATATATATATATATATATATAAAGAGCATTCTTAAGGCATTTGTGGTGTTAAAGGCTTCTTAGATTAATTTTGTTGTATTACTTGGGTCAAGAAAACTAATTTATTAAAATACTTCTACCATTTTATAATCATTTGAATGTACTCAGTATTTGAATTCACTTTAATAGTTTTTTTCATTGTGCAGTGACTAACTTGTTGATTATGTAAGTAGGTCACATTCAGTAATCCATATTGTAGGCATTACCCCAGAAAATATTTTTTACCCAATATCAACTTGAAGGATGTCTAACTTCATAAAGCAGTTTTATTAAATAAGAAAGAAATAAAACAATGAAATAAAAAGAACACTTACGATTTCAAGGCTGCCTGGAAGTAGACAAGTCTTGGTAGACAGAGCATATATTGATCAGTGAGGATAGCTGTTATACTCTTCTTGACTACATAGTCAACTTCCATGAATGGACAGATTGATGGAAACCTAGTCAAAGAAATAGAACATTGAATATCATCTGAAAATATGATTTATAGTTAATACTTGATAATTGTGATCTTGTGAGATTTTACAATGAAAATAATAAGAATTATTAAAAGGAAAATAAAGAGCACTATTTACATTATTCAGACTATTGTCGTCATCTTTGTCAACATATTTATTACAACATTTCAGCCATTGTACATTCCGGCCTTCTTCAAGTGGTTGGAATACCAAACTGAACCTTTTATTTCGCTCACTGGGGTAAACTGTTCTAGTGCCATGGATATCAGTTATCAGTTATCTTCTGTTAATTCTCCTCTCCAAGTTCTCCACTACCTTAACTGGGTATTGAATTCACACTCTTTGGGTCCTGTCACTGGATCTAACCAATGCCTTTATCCACTGTGCCATGTGTCCTTGAGGACATCTGTGTATGAATTTCTAGGTATTATAAACCTAATGTCTCAGCCATCATTTTTTTACTAGTGCTCATATTGCAATTTTTTGCTGTTATCATTGCATTTTTTTTTTTTTTTTTACCAGAGATCATATTGCAATTTTTGTTGTTATTATCGCTTTTCTCTGGCACTCCTTAATACTGGTTCCCATATTGTATTCATTTCTATGCTTGGTTGGCTCAGGAGATTTTTGTGGCTTAGCATATGTGCTGATTCCTTAAGTTTCTTTCTGCAGCTGAAGAAGGTCAGAGCATACAACGGCCGAAACATTGTCATAAATATGGCGACAAAGATGAGAACAATAGTTCGAATAATGTAAATAGTGTACATAATACCTCATATCAGAAATATAGACAGATAGCAAAAGTACAATGTAATAAAGCTGAAGAATGAATGTCCATTAGATGGTGCCTTTCTTTTTTGTTATCAATTAGAAAAAAATCAAAAATATATTTAAAGGATAGTCTTAATATTCAAAATCTATAGATCAGCAGTGGCTTAGGGTTAATGCGAAAAAATTATAACGAATAATGAAACACTAAGGACATGTGCAAAGAATCATTTCCTATTTTTTTAATTGTTTTTATTGTGGATAAACAAGATTATCTTGAAACATTCTTCATATAATCTCCATGAAGGCCAGATGAGATTCAGGAAATTGTTCAAAGGTCAAACTCTATAGCACAAATGTCAGTGATGGAATATATATTACTATTATCAATACTGCAACACTAACCCAAAGCATTGATATGGAAGTACATTAATCCTTAGTAACTGTGTATGTACACATATGTATCAAGACAGGTAAATATTTATAAACTGAAGTGTCAAAGAATTAAGGACATCCTTACACTGGATGTTTTTATCCTTCTTGACTTGTAGAAATAGACTCAGATGGATGATGCATGTCTGATGTAATATGTGAAAAGATAATAAAGATATGGTGGCTATAGAATGTGGATAGGATTAAACAATATTTCGCAGGGAATGATTGTTAGAGCCAGAAAGATGGGACATTCTATCCCTGAGATAGTAATGGCAACAGTAACAAGAGTATATACCAGAAATATGTAAATTCTGGATCCTGCCTGTCAGTAAGTCATTGCATAAGCTGACATTGGCTCTGAATAATGTGTTCTTTGGTGTTCATGATAGCTATTAGTGAAACTGGAATTTGTCTTGAAATGTGTCATATACACAGAGCTTGTTGCAGACCATTTGCACTCATTTGTACTTGACATGTTGGGTGGTTGAAGCAAGATAATACAGCACACCCATCATGCATGAATTGTTATATATAAGATCCTTTTTGTGTGCATAGATAAAAGGATCTTATACATGACGGTTTATTAAATGAATTAGTCATACATAGAAATAAGTTCAACTACAACTCTGATCAAAAGTATGCCAGATTTATCAAAAGAGAAAGTAACTTAATTCTTAAGAAAATTCTTGAGAGTGTTGCTATCAAATCTTACCAAAATATACATCTACACCCTGGACTTTTTCAGATATCTCCTTTCCTAAAAGAATTACTCTTTTCCAAGTCAACATACATGATTATAATTTTTTATAAAAATTAAAAGATAACAGTTAAATTCAAAAGCTTTTATTATTTAAAATATATAATACATAAATTAATTTCTTACACTAAAATAATATAAATATTAATTACATTATTAAAAACAATTTAACAACAATAACAAAATTTATTCACTTTTGTTTATTAGACATTAAATTACATAACTTAACATCCCCTATAGTTTACCTTGACTGTCAGCCTGAAGTATAATTATGAACATTCTTAAATTTGAAATTCTGAAAACTAACAACAATTTATTTCTGCTTATAAATACTTGTTGCAAAATAAAATTTTCAGATTTTTGTCCATCAGAAAATGAAACATGTTCACTAAGATAAGTTTCCCTTTTGTCTTTATTCATATTTTATTTTACAGATATATTTTTAGTTATATCTGAATATATATATATATATATATATATATATATATAAAAAAGGCTCAAACACTAATATTCCATGGTTATAATTTATTATATTGGAATCATAATCATGATCTAATTCATCAGACCTACAAATTCATAAAGAAATCGAAAAATATTTTCTGATTTTTTTTATGAATTTGTAAGTCTGAGATATATGTATATATATTATAATTATTTTTTAAAAATATTATTCCATCGCTACATAAGAGTTCTCATGTTTCAAAAACAAAAGCTAAAAAACAACTCTGTCTCATCCTCAAGTGAATTTTGGAATAACTAATCTTGAAATTCAAAATTGTGGAGAAACCAATGAGAAACCCCTTCACTATCTTTCCCAAGAAGTCATGATAATTCATGCATATCAAAGAGTAAAGAAAGCTATGTCCTGAATGGATATAGCATATCAAAATGGTATGTTAAAATAAAGAAAATTTATATCACTAGTAGTAAACTTTTATATGAACAAAAACTGGATGGTACTCAAAGATGCAACATATACCTGAAGAAGGCTGAAGAAAACATCATTGTACTGAAAATAAAAAATATGATGATGCTCATGTAAATGAATAATAGAACAGTTATGACTATTTTGAAAACTGTTTTTATCTGTAGCTGTGAGTGACTGAGAGAGAGAGAGAACATTAATTCAAATTAAAAGAGATAATCTAACTCACCTTATATTACAACCTTTAAACATATCTGTGTCAACACACTGTGGGCAGATAAGTGTTGTCTTTATTCCATTGTGAAGGTCATGTTTAAGCTCATAACTAAGCACTTCATTGAAACCGACCACAGCAAATTTGGTTGAACAATAATCTGTGAGTTTGTTGAGGCCAGTTAATCCAAGTGAGCTAGACATGTTCACAATATGACCATGGTTATTTTCTATCATTTTGGGCAGAAAACATTTGATTGTCTGAAAAAGGAATAGAAAGTATGGATTATATGAGTTTAAAATGAAAAAATAAATTTTATATGCTTCCATCTTCTCACTGAGGATGAAAAAAAATCAAGTTGTATCTTATTTCTACTTACTTTAATGAACTAATCCATGAACTAAATTTCTATAAAATTGTGAAAACTTTGTGGAAAACGTTATTCATGTGAATGTATATATTTATAAGTCTACTATTCACCCTTGCTTTGAATATTGCTGCTACATCTTGTCTGGTGCTCCTGCTATATATTTAGAGATTCTTGATAAAATCCAAAGAAGAATCGGCAATGTTATTGATCCTGACCTGGCATCTCAGCTTCAGTCACTTTCCCAATACCATAACATGTCTTCTCTGTTCCTTTTTCTATAAATACTTTCGTGGTAATTGTTCTGATGAACTTTCCTCTATGGTATCTAGACTTTATGAATTTAAGCGTAGTACTAGATTTACTGCAAAGTGTCATCATGTCACAGTTGAAGTGGATAGATGTAACCATAAGTTCTATGCTAACAGTTTCTTCTATTGCACTTCTCACTTGTGGAACTCTTCTGGCTTCTAGCTTCCAAGTCAACTTTGATCTTCAAAAATTTAAATGCCATCTCAATTGTCATCTTCTGCCTTCTTAATTCTTGTTCTTTTATTGTTCTCTCTCCTTAAAAGTGTTTGTTGTTTTTTGCATTTTCTAACATTCAGTAACCTCTTGCATCTTAGCAGCTCTATTGCTTTGCTTGGGGTAAATTGATTAAAAAACATCTAATGAACAATGTTTTAGATTACCTCACTGCAATTGCTACAACAATGCCCAAAGTATTTATTATATTAAGAAAGTTACATCTAAAATTATACACACACCTCTATATATTTATGTTCATGTTTTCACTTGACTTTAAATCAAAGAAATTAATTAAATTTAATTTTTTTTTATTTTGATGTAGTATTTTAATTTCTTCAAATATTCTTGGAACATGATATTGTAAAGCAATTTTAGTTTTAATATACTGACTATATTATTCTGTACATTGATTTACTTCTTTCAGATCTGTCATTTCTCAATGCAATATTATATTTTACTGCAGACTTCCAATTAATATTTTGTAACAATTTGATTCAACTGTGTTGTTCTTGCTCAGTGAATTATAAAATTTTGTAATTTATTTTCTATACTTCTGTATTCTGCTCCATACTGAACTTACTATGTTGCTTTGTGCCTTATAGTTATGTCCTATGCTTTTAATAATCCTCTATTGTAAAGTTCTTTCTCTACTATTTTCACTGATGTTCTTATCTTTCTGTTCTATTCTGTGCCCCCCACTCCTTCTTTTTGAAGAAAAATTATTTAGACACAGAACACAATTCATATATTTTAATAATTTGAGAAAATAATTATTTACAATTTTAAATGATGGTTGAGTTTTTGCATTGCATCTTCTCTTCTTATCTGGGACTGTTCAATTTTATGTTATAAGCAGAACTTGACCAATTCTGAGATACAAGATTGGACTGATTGTTTGATTTATTTTTATGGCTTATCAACCTTTTGCTGGTTACTGAAAACCAGAAAATATTTTTATATTGTAAGAGTTTTTTGAAAGTAATAATGATTTACTGATGCAAGTCCTACTAATTAATCTATAGCTTGGCAAGGTAGGAATCCACCTCGATTCATACTTTGCTTAAGCGTGTTTTTGTATTAGTGAATATAACAAACCCAACAGAAACTTGAATTTGGCTCTCCAATTTCTCATTCTGAGCCATTATCCATTACACAAACTGCATATTTGTTTACAGCACTTGGTATTCCCAAGTGGTCACCCATCTAGGTACTGACCAGGCTTGACATTGCTTAAATTCAGTGATTGTATGAGAATCTGTACTTCAGCATGATATCAATAAATAAATACTGGAATGAATAAATTCACCTGGAGAAGGCTGGAGAATTAACTAAACAAAATGTTGTAAAAGAAAAATAAACAACTCCATATAGCTTATCTCAAAACCTCAGGCAAAAAACAGTGCATAATCTATTTATAAATTAGTTTTTCTTGAAATACATGTATAAAATGAAATGGTGGAGGTCATCACTAATGTCACCCTGGCTTCATTACGAATTTCAGGTATTGCAACATCAGATCCATTCTGCCAGGTACCCTGAACTGTTGACAGGCCACCTCCCTGCATAATTCACTCTACAATGTACTTATAAAAAAATCAATCATTAAATATATCAGGAGGTAGAGCTTACTTTTATAATGGCATCAAGATTTCCATTAACCAATCAGATATTGTTTTGCAGGCTATCTAATTTTTATGAAAAAATACAATTGCTTTCAATGTCCAAAAATTTTCTTGGAAAAAAATTTTCTTGGAAAATATTTCTTTTCTGCTTCACTATTTTGAAATATATAAGATGTTCATTGTTTCTTTTTTCAAAAATTGTCTCACATCTTTCGTAGCGAAACTCAGACATAGCATCAAAACTGAGATCTTTGAATATTCCCCAGTCGAGTACAAAGTAAATTCTAGAAAATATCCCATAATTTAATTTTTTAATATATTCCATACTAAATTTAGATTGATTCTTATATGAAAGAGAAAAAGAACTAATATAGCATGATTTTTTTAACAGCAAGACAAAAAAATGTGTTTTTTTAAAATTTTAAATAAGTTGTGTAAATGTATTTAACCTATATACTTGGAATTTGACAGGAACTCATTAGTTTTCCTGAATGTACAAATTTGAATTTTTTGTTGTTATGGTTAAAAATCAATTAAAAAAAATGTATAAAAATTGTAACTAAAAATATTAATCATAACATTGTATTACACTTACCCAGAAGTAGGATAATATATTCACATTGAAAGAATTAAGAATTTCATCATCAGGGCAATCCATAAAACCTTTGCCTATGACCACACCAGCATTATTGACCAAAATAGTTACATCTCCAACTTCTTTCTTGACTCTCTCACCAACTTGATATATCTGGTGTTTTTGACTGTAAGATAAAAATAATCATATATACATCCATACTTACTTATATATATATATATATATATATATATATATATATATATATATATATACAGTGACACACATAAGTATTGGATACATGTTATTTTCTGTTATAACTCTAGTTTATGTTTGCCAGTTTGCCTGATATTTGGTAAGTAATATCTTGTAAAGTTGTTTTAGTTGTATGTGGGAGGAAAATTAAAAACTCATGGTTGAATCCATTTTTTTATCAAAGTTCGGATGTAGTTTGATAACCCCTGTTCTAGAGAACAAAATGCATTCACAGAATTTTTCCACTTCATCATTATTGTAACAACAAAGTTTCTAATTGCAATATTACTTAAAAATTTAATAAAGAATTTACCAAGAAATGTGGGAAAACATGGGCTTTTGTTCCTGCAAAAATCAGGTTGGTTTTTCCATTGACACCACTATTATTGTAACTACATTCACTCTTCTGTTTACAAGATTATAAAAAATGATTTACCTTTTATAAAAATTTATTATTTACCATTTATAAAGAAATAAATGTAAAAAGAAATCTTTTTATTCAGAAATTTAAAAAAAATTATTTTCATATTTATTTCTGTTATAATGAGCATTTTGTTGCAAAGGGAAGGAACAAACAAGGATTAAATAAATATCCTTTTTTTTTTTGTTTTGTTTTTTTCTTTACATAACACTTGATTGAAAATGTAAATTATAACCTAAATTTCCTTACAAAATAGTTTTTTTTTAAAACAATAGGGATTTTTTCCTGTTTACTTTATGAAATTGGACTGACTGCTTACTCTGGCACAGGAGTTAATCATTAGCAAATGAGGGTTTACTGAGGTATGGTTGTTGCTCCTATGCTGTAAGTGGAGGTATGTTTCTCCTCATTTTAGATGGGTGAGAGGTGGATTTGATGTAATACCAATGCCAGTGTGACAGCAGTCATGGGGGCTGGGCAAAACCACAATTTTTTTACTTGGCCTATATGTATACATATACATATACATATGCCACTCCTCACATTAAAACAACCTTTTCTCACATCAAGCCTTTGTGGGGAAGGCCAGGTAAATATACCTTATACCTGACTGTTTACCTGTGTAATTACTCATAGCACTTACTATATATATATATATATATATATATATATATATATATATATATATATATATATATATATATATATATATATATATATATATATCCTGACCATTAAAAAAATATATACCTACACTTATGAGCAGTAGTGTGTCAAACTTTTTAAGAATAATTTATCTCTTTATTTACATCCTATATTTTTACATATGAAATTAGGAATCTGTTCTTTCTTCATTTTTAACATCCCTAAAGTTTTTGTCAGTGGATAAAATCAACAAATAAGTTCTGTAAATTTGTGTAATTTTAGTAAACAGTTCATGCAAACATTGCACACCCCTTGAGCCCTATCACTGCTAAAGATTTCTTGTTTTTCTGAAGTCAGTATCCATTCAATAAATGTAATTGATTTTATCAGTACTTTTCATCACTCTTACAATAAAACTGCTGAATAACCTTTTACAACAGTGTTTCTCAATCCATGTCCCCCAGAACCCTAAGGTTCCACAAAAGGTTGCTAGGGGTTCCAGGAAAAACAGTGATAAATAGGGTAATGCATTTTTGAGTAATTTTTGTTTAATTTCATATTTTTAATTTTACTATATATGTATGGCATATTGTTGGAAAATCCTTGGTTAATATAATAAAGGCTTCCACCTCTTATATTATTTAAATTATAATAATCATAGGGAATGTATTTAGTGATGTCTATATGGCATTTTTGTGGAATTTATATGCAGGAGTTCCCTGAGACATGCAAAACTATTTCAAGTGTTGCACAAGAGTAAAAAGGTTGAGAAACGTTGTTTTACAGGCACAGTTTTTATTTTTTAATAATTATAATTAAGAATCATGCCTGTTATATAATATAAGTGGTACAAATTAAAAAAATTGAATATAATTTTAATTTGTATTTCAGATATATTCTTGAGATTGTTTATTAATGTTACCTTTTTTTTTAGATATTTTAATGAAATCATTTAAATTACAATGTATAAAAAATGTGTATTGAAATAGATGAGAAGGTAAAAATCAGATCATCAGATGACTAGAGTGTGAGTTATTTTAATAACAATGATTTTATAAATAAAGACATGAGTCATGTCTGTTTTCTAATGTTTATTGAAATCAGGGTTTGTCATCAGTCAATTATGTGCCATGCTTAGGTGATCATATATCTTTCAATACATGGCTGATGAGGCAGATTTTTTCCCACAGTAGGTTGCCATTTCTTTCTGCAGTAGACCAGTTACCACCCAAAGCTATAGAACCCAATCTGTCCTGCTATTTACCCATAGCTGGGAGGAAAAGAAGAGGATTCATACCTTTCCCAGCTTAACTTTTAAACTTTATAATTTAATTTATATAGGCACAAGACTAGAGAACATATGAACCTGATAAGACAATAATACACAGATTAAGTTAAGTTATAGGATATAAACTTCTATATTTTATGGCCAATAAGTGAAGCACAAACAAGTACGAGATGCCTACAAATAAATCCTACTAAAATCAGTAGATACAAAAAATTTACAATTCTGTGCAAAACATGACTCCAAAATTAAATAAATGCTTTCTGGAACCTAATTAAATAGGACAAGTCATGTGATGTGCTCTCTACAACGTCTGTGAGGTTGAACTCCAAATGACTTGGAAATAGGTCAGAGCTTGGGTTACAGAGTATAACATGAAAAACTCAAATAGAATTCATGAGCTGATACCGGTTGTCAAATAGCGATAAAAAGGCTTGTCAGCGACAGTTCAAACAGGATCAGTCAGTAAACAAGGCCCAGCCTCAACAAACATACCATGACAACAAATCAGTTAGTGATGATCTTTCTGCCTACAAAGCCATGACGAAAGTGAGTTCTAAATCCCTTCTGTGTTTTGAAATCACTGCTATCGCATACAGCAGTCACACATATTTCGTTGGTGTGTGCTTTACACACACATACTGGCATACATCTAACTTTGAACTTTACAGACTCACTTGCAACAATTCACCTTGAACACTCTAACTATTGGTCTCTTCATGGCTACAATAAAGACAATTGAATTCTTATATGTAAATACATGTATCTACTGTATAAATGTTATTGTTATATTTAACTTGGTCTTCTTCCTTTTCTGTGACGATCATTTCTTCATATTGTTTATAATTTTGTATTGTAATTTGTGAACATGACACACGGATTCTATTTTTCCACCTAAAATCAGGGTAAATTGCCCCCACAAAGTCAATAAACATTCTTGGAACAAATTTTACTTAATACCAAAAAAGAACCTTTATAAAGTGAATCATTTGCAGTTCGAGAATATTGATAACTTCTTGGTTGATTGGTTAATTGCTGACAAAAAAAAATTGCGAGTTAACGCCGTACTTTGGGATCGTCTGCTTTTTACAATTTATTTTTAGTAGCATTTTAAAAATTCATTTTCTTTTTATGTTACCCCTCTGTTACCTTCCCTAGACCACGTTCTGTCATCCACTTGCTTAAGCACGCTAGGTATGTCATGCATTGTTTTCCTTTGTCTCTCTTTCCCTCTATTCGACTCGTGAGGATCAGATTCTCCAGACCCTCCTTCCTCATTATGTGTCCCAAAAACTCCAGCTGCCTCTTCCTGATATTCAGTATAAGCTACCTCCTTGTTTGCATCCTCTCTAAGACCTCATCGTTGCTCACATGCTCGGTCCATGATATCCTTAGCATCCTTCTGTAGAACTACCTCCCTTGCTTCGAGTCTCTTCTTAATCTTTGAGGAAATTGTCCAGCATTCGCTGTCGTAAAGAAGGACAGATGTCACGTAACAGCTCAGTATTTTTTTCTTTGTTACCAAAGAAATCCTCCTGTCTCGCAATACTCTACCCAGCTTTTGGAATGTGTCTTTGGCCATCCCAATACGTCTACGGATCTCAGTGTCGCACTTACCGTCTTCTGTCAAAACGCTTCCCAGAAAAGCTTCCGCGTCTGCTTGATCCTAGAGTTCACGACCTGCAAATCGCTTTTCGGGCTCATTCTTTTACTGATGACGATGCATTCTGTCTTCTTGTAGTTTATGCTTTAGTCCCTTCTTCTCACTCTCTGTCGCTACCTTTAGTTTAGTAGGAGATTTTGTACGAACCGTTATTTCTTTCCTTTTTAACTTACTATTTTCTTTTACCGAGTTGACAGGAATTAATCTGTCCGATTCCTTTTCTTCTTTTTTCTTCACTTTTTATTGTTGATAGATTTTTTTAACGAGAAATTGCAAAAGATCAAGGCCAATGGGTTAGGGTTTAAATGTTTGATTTTACAAACTATATTTTGACTATATCAGTTGCTATATGTTGTACATAAAAAGCATAATTACTTAATAAAAATAATATTGTCTTATATTTATTATAACTCAACAAATAAAAATAAAAGGAGAAACCAGTAACAGCAGTTTGATGTTTTTATTGGCTGTACGAAGGAATACTGTTGGCGTCTGAATGACATTAAATATTTTCACTTGTGACAAAATGCTTACAGATAAAAAATGTTCAAAGCAATAGCTGTCAATCATCATAAAATATTATCATCACCTGTTCAATCATTAAAATGTCTAAAAAAAAATCACACCAAAAGATATTCATGAAATTTTTTAAGTTTTGGTTAGTATACCTCTTGAAATTTTCAGTGTTTTTGTGGGAGTTTTTATTTATTTATTTTCATATTAATTTGATCATTTGTCTCGTCTGTTTGTCTATGTCTTTGAAGACTCTCCTGTGATCCAGTAACTGGGAAAATACATGCACCCATAATTTCTTTAAAAGCTCGGCAAAGGAAATGTTATGTTGTTTTATTTATTCAACTCTGGGGAGTAGAAATGGAAGGTCTCATTAAATAATGGTGGACTTCCACAGACAGACAT